GGGGGGGGGGGGAAGAACCAAAGATCCCACTTTACAGAGAAGTTTAATTTTTTTGTGGTACCGGGGATCAAATCCCGGTCCTTGCACTTGTGAGGCAGGCAGCGGAACCACTGGGCTAAATCCCCAGACTTTACAGAGAAGTTTTATAGGGTGAAACCCACGTGGGCCACGGCCATGAACATCCAATAAGGTTACAAGTACAGTCACTTAGGTAATGGTCCATTTGGGAAGCAAGTCACATAGCAAGCATACAAGGATTTTCAGTAAGGGTGGGGGTCAGGGATATTTCCTGGGAGAGGCTGGGTTAAGACCTTGACCCCCCCACCCAGATGATTGATACCTATTTAGAATATCAATTACTGCTATTTATCCCCAGGGGAAGCCCAAGGGTATGTAGTTTCTCTTCTTTTACAATTCTGGCCTTCAGTGAATGTGCCTTGAGCCACAATTGTCCTCCAGGCAAAGGCCCAGCCCTGTATAACCGGCTGTACAATTTATAACTAATTTAGCTGTTTACAATACCAAGAGCCCCCAATAACCTTCCAGCAAATCCCCTTGGTTTAGGTTGGTCTGTCCCTTTCTGTGCGTACAGCCAGGAAGTCTAATTGATGTGGTGCTGTGGTTTGTTTCACCTTTGTCCTGGCCTTCTCGAGGACTTAGCCCTATCTGACTGCCTATAATATTTCTACCTAGCTCATCTATCTATAATATTCCCCCCTCTGAAGAAATATCCTGAACTGTCGTGAGGGGGCAAGGGGCGATGACTGCTCGAGCTACTTCAGGCTGAAGGGGGTCATAGTTGTGGTTGGCAGTCAGGGGTACTCTTCAGAAGGTCTATCTAAAGGTCCTCAATAGGCATCACACGTTTCCATCATGGGTAGACATATAGCTTTGAGTCTGGAGGAGACAAGGCCAGAAAGACAGTTCAGTATACATGGGCCAAACAATAAGATCAACAGAAATGTTATGAGTATAGCCAACAGATGTTTCCACCAGGAAGAGCTAGTAATAGCCTTCCACAGGGAAGATAAGGAGAAGTCCCAGGGAACTTCAGAATCCATTTTAGAAGGAACTTAGCAGTTATGAGTTGTTTACAGGGTCGATCTTGTGGATCCTGGTAAAAGAATTTTAGCACTTTTGTCGTTGGTTCCATTTGTATGACTGGAGTATGGCAGCCTCTAGGCAAGAATCCCCTAAACTAAATGTGTTTTGGTCCCTTAAGTGTTGTGCTTACAGAAATAGCTCCTTCTGGTTTCACCCAGAAGTCAGTTCTTTCCACGGGGTCTCAAGTGCAGTCTCTCGAGGAAGACTGTTGCCCAGAGCACTAAGAGGGGACATCGCGTTCATGTGCTCTCCTGGACTGACAAAACCTTGATGTCTCATCTAACCCAGAGATGGGGTATGTTTCCTGATCTAAAATGACTTCCTGGGGGGCCAGGGATTTAGCTCAGTGGTTTCTCTGCCTGCTGCACAAGCACAAGGACCTGAGTTCGATCCCTGGTATCAAAAAATTTAAAATAAAGTAAAATGACTTCCCAATCTTCTGCATTGGCAAGAACGCTCATTTTCTTTTTCTTTTTTTGATACCAGAGATCAAACTCTGGACCTTGCACTTGCGAGGCAGCCGGCAGAATCACTGAGCTAAATCCCTGGCCCAAGAATGTTCATTTTCTAAGGACTTAATTTAAAGGTTCTTAGGAGAAAGACATCAAGTACTTCAGAGATCCTTTCTGACCTTACATGCCTCTATAAAGGAGAGTATAAGATTGGCAGGAGAGATTGGAAATGAGACCAGGAAAGGAGGTCTTTTCTTCTCAGGCTCTTGGTGATTTATCAAGACAACTTGCTCCTGAGTTGTCACTCTCAGCCTGGAAAGGTGAGAGTGGGGAATCTCAAGAGGTAAGACTGCCTCCTCACCAGTGGGGAGATCAGACCAGAAAGGAAACTGAGGCAGAGCTGGCTCAACATTTTCTCTAGAGTATAGAGAAGGATTGGGCCAGACTGCTCAGTGAAACCTGTCTCCCAAGTCTTAAGAGCGGCTGCCAGCCTAGTGCCTTATTAATTGACAGCTGGGGTCCTGCATTTTATCA